TTTGTACTTATAAATTTCAGCCGAAATATCAGAAACAAACTTCCAATCAAATCTAAACGGCAAAAATTAAAATGGCGCCCGACCTTGCCAGAGGCCTCGGGAGCTGACGCTGACACACCGACAAAAGACAAAAGAACAGGACGCCGACGTGCATAAAAATGTTCCGTAGCAGAAATTGACAGAAATCATATAGAAATATTCAGATTTTTGTCTAGGACAGTCTAGAAGGCCGTGCTTTCTGCCTGGGTAGAACCGCGCCACAACTGTTTCCAATTTTCCGGTTTACTGTCACCCCCCTGGATATGCCCCTCTTTCTCTATTGCCTCCTTGGATTTGAGGTCAATTCCTATTGTGAGGACCTGACCATGACCCTCCTCCCTCGAGTTGATGACTCGCCAACTCGATGTCCTTACATTGAAGTTCTGACATTAGATAAGGCTCAGCAGGTAGGTGGTGTGGTGTCTTTCCCCTTGCTCCTCGGCAGAAAGACCGTTATGGCCGCCCCTTTAGGGATGTTTTCTCCCTTCATTGCAACCAGTTCCGGCCCCTGCCAATTTTTAAGGTTAGGTGCGATTTCCACCAACTAATTCGCCGATTCTTGAGATACACAATCTATGAGAATCATGCCCACCCGAAAGAGTATCCCCGCAAAACGCAACTGATCCACATTTTGTAGATCGTTGTGTTGCGATCCGATCGCCACTACTTCGTCCAGTATAGCCTCTTTTAGAGATGTTTGCTGGTCGGTGGTCAGAGCAACCTCTGGGAAATTATTTGGCAACACCGCCATTTTCACTTGTCCAGCAATAGCGGCAAAGCTGGTAATACGTCCCTGCTTGCCTCTCGGTGTTAGACGGCTTTCCATCCTGGCTTTTTCTCTCCCTGCCGGAGAAGAGGTGAGGGGATCTCGCTCCCTCTCTTGCCCTTTGATGGAGATGAGTCAGGTTGTTTCTTGGTTTCTTTACTCTCTCCTTTTCGGAGGAGTGTTTTCGCTTTTGCTTCTTCTGGAGCAAGTCCTTCGTGGAGCAGTCGGAGGTATTTCCGTGCTTCTGCTCCACTAAGACCTACTCTCAGAGGATCGTCTAGCCCGCCTGGTTGACCCAGGCCGGGTAGACGAAACGGTAGCTTATTGGGTCTAGAGGTAGGCTCCCGACCCTTGCTGAAGAAGGTGGTAGCTTGTGTGGTAACTTCCTAAGTGGGTAACCAACTTAAAGCAGAACTCAAGAACGGTCTAAGACACTCTAAGAAACTTCTCAGGACTTACCTACAACCGAGAAAAATCAAAGATTTTGCGTGGTTTAAGTAAGAGCAATCTTCTTGAGCAATCTTCAAGAGCTTCTTCAATGAATACCTCAGTAGATTGAAGTTATGAAACAATGGCGAATACAGATTCTGTAGGGAAAATGAAGAAACACCAGAACACCTCATCACTGAGGGCGCCTAGACGAAAACCATTCGTGTCATAAACTTTGGTATGACTGATCCTGGAGAGGGAAAACTAACCTCTGTATCCATCAAGTTTTTGTCATCTACAAGATATCTGAAATTGTAACATTATCAAAATCATTCCGTATCATGGAAACCAAGGAGGCCAACAATGTTGTTTGTGGCATTTTTGGTTTTACAAAAAAAATCTTTCTCCGTCTATTCAACAAGCTTGGGACACACTGTATACGTGTCGTTTCTTAATGTTTATTACTCTTACATACTATAATCATATAGACATCTAACTTTTTTGAAAAGTATTTTGTTTTATTGACGGTGTTTCATGACTCTTTAGTATACCCCCAGGTTTTAACCAAAATTCTGTCATTCTGAACCACCGAGTTAATAGTCGCATTATTTCAATTCAATTTGCCATACTTTCTTTTACTGATCATTACTTTGCAAATAAAACAAGTATCTCGTATAGATCTTATAAGTTTCGTCACTTTTTGCAAGAAGCCGGGAGGAACTATGGTTCCATGTGCCTTGAGTCAGGTAGGCAGTTTGCAGATTACCGATCTGTAGCCAATGGCTCGTAAACTAACTAAATGTAAATCGGTTTTAAATTACAGGGTACATTCGGTAACCTTAAAGAATATATTAACTGAAGGTTTGGTCAAACAATCCTTACATTAATCATTAAAATTATTATTATTATTATACATAATATCATATGTATAATAGTAATATTGTCATATTTCCTGCCCAATTTGTATGTAATTGGCAAATACTCTTTTTTTGGTATTCTGTAGTAACTAAAGGTAATACCGAGCATAATAGTTATTTACATACTTATTACGTACTACTACTATGAGTGTTAGTAGGATGATAATGCCGGGAAGGGCATCAAGAAATATTATGAATGCCTTTGGGTCGAATAATATTCGTCTTTCGATAGGCACTATTGTATGGGTAACGACCGTAACTTTATCATAATTTCACTATTTTTTCAATATTTTTTAATATACAAGGTGTCTTTTTCAATATACAAATAAGTGCTTAAGTATACAAGGTACCGCAAAAAATTAACTACAAAAATTATAGTTTTTAAATGTCTATTGGCGAATAATAAACTTAACTATACAGGGTCGGTCATAAAGTCATGGAATGTATATTATTGCATATTTCAATTCTAAGCAAAAATCGAAATACACACAATGTACTTCAAATCAATCGTTTCCGAGATTGACTTTTGAACATATCACTTAAACAATTTGATTTAATTAATTTCAATATGTTCAGTTTCATTTAATGATACCATTCTGCCGAAACTGTAATACTGTTGCAATGGCTTTTGTGAAATGCTTATTAGCTACTAGTAAATTTAAGTGTACAGGGTCGGTCATAAAGTTGTGGCACATCAAATTTTTTTTTAAATAAAACAGCAAAATATTCTAAGCAATAATCGTAATACATAATGTACATAAATTGAAGAATTGAAATGTTAAACGAAAATTTTGTAATTTCCAGACTTGATATAATCTCATTTTATACATCTATAAATGCTAACTTGGGAACTAATGTCAAATATTATTACGTATTAAGTATCACAGTTTCGGTAGAATGGCATCGTTAAATGAAACTGAACATATCGAAATGAATTAAATCAAATTGTTTAAGTGATATTTTCAAAAGTCAATAACTCGGAAACGGTTGGTTTGAGGCACATTGTGTGTATTTCGATTTTTGCTTAGGATTAAAGGAAGAATTGAAATATGGCAATAATATACAGGGGATTCTATTAAAAAAATTAAACTTATATGTACCACGATTTTATGACCGACCTTGTATACTTAAATTTATTACTCGCTAATAGATATTTAAAAATCCTACAACTTTTGTATTTAACTTTTTGCGATGCCTCCTATATTTTACCTATTTATCGACTGTTTCCATACATAACAGCGACCCTGTATACAGGGTGGTCCGAACTGTATTCCGGAAACTTCGGCAGCATATTTTGCAGATAAAAATAAGTAAAAAAGTTCGTATAAATGTATGTCCTAAAATGCTTAGTTTCAGAGATACAGGGTGTAGAAGTTTCATTTTTATTTCGATTTTTTCCAAATAATTTCTGAAGTAACGTCAATATTTGGATGAAAAAATTGGTAGATGGGTGTTTTTGACACGACAAATTTGATTTTCATTCAATATGACTCCTACTTGCAGAGGGCGCCACCTACATATTTTTAACTGTTTTGAAGAGTAATAACTTTTCGTCCGTACCTTTATAAAACAACTGATTAAAAAAATATGCATTTACAACTTTTTTTACTTAAAAAATGTCTCTTAGTAAAAATCGCTACGAGTAATGGTTCTCGAGATATTTGGAATCGAAATTATCAAAACCTGTCATCTTTGTCATAAATTAAGCATGTTAACTAAATAGTTATTAGGCTGAAATCATAAATTTGAAATGTTTTTGTGCTAAAAGTTCTTTATCATCATTTTTTCTCAGAAAATTTTAAGTTTAATTTAAAAAAAATAAAGAGTTCCCAAATTTATCATTTCAGTCAAATATCTGTATACTCAACAAGCTTATTTTTTGTCAATAATGACATGTATTGACTATTTCCATTCTAAATATCTTGAGAACGGTTATTCGTAGCGACTTTTACCAAGGAACATTTTTTACGTAAAAAATCACAGAAATGTATATTTTTTCGCTCAGTAGTTTTATACAGGTACGGACGAAAATTTATTACTCTCCACAACAGTTAAAACACATGTAGATGGCGCCCTGTACAAATAGGAGTCATATTGACATCAAAATTAAATTACTCATTACAAAAAACTCCCAGACACCAATTTTCATTCAAATCCTCAGCATTTACTTCAGAAATTATTTGGAAAAAATCGAAATAAAAATAAAACTTCTACACCCTGTATCTCCGAAACTAAGCATTTTAGGGCATACATTTATACGAAGTTTTTTACTTATTTTTATCTGCAGAATATGCTGCCGAAGTTTCCGGAATACAGTTCGGACCACCCTGTATATTGCTACCAATTCTGAATTATTAATATTGTTAATTAATGCCATATTCTGAAATACCGAAATAAAAATGTCAAAATGCAAAACAAAACAGGGGAAAAACAAGGAATGTCCTTCAAAACAATGTTAATTAAAGGTTGTGTAAACCTATTATTTTTTTGTTGTAGAAAGAAAATTAATATTTAAGTAGGTTTTTATTAAAATACATAAATTTATTACATGTAATACTAACTGCAAGATGCATGCTTGTCGACCATGCTAAGGACATCTCTGGTTTTTGTCATTTACGCGTGGACTACTCTGGTTTTTGCCTTGTACGGCAAAATAACCAAGCTGTAATATCTCTGGAACGAACCGTATTATTGCTTTCTTTGATGGTGCCTGGAATAACGCTAACCTTTGCTTATAAAGTTGTGTCGCTATCTTAATTTCTATGAAAATAGATGACATATCTGGATAAGGGATTACGTTAATATAAGGGATTACGTTATATTAATAAATATATTATTCTTGTTTCCAGCTGCGATTGTAGGATTTTCAAGCGGACTTGGAGTTACCACTGGAGCACATCGTTTGTTTTCGCATAGGGCTTACAAAGCACCATTCGTAACAAGACTGGTTTTAATCTTGTTCCATACATTAGCAGGGCAGGTGAGTGGTTATTGTTTCTGTAGAATGTTCAGCCATCGTTCACCGTTACGTCATATTGTCGAACTCTCTCAATCACTTGATAACCAGATGAAAGAGATTGGTGACGCATTACGGCATTTTGTAAATTATTGCATATTCTTTTTAGTAGTGATGGGACTACTCGAGCGAAATTTCGCTCGAGTACTCGATTATTGAAATAACCGACATCGCTCGATTATGAACGAGCGACGCAAGTGACGAGCGACAAGCGACAAAAGCAAGCGATCCTAGAATGAAATAAATTGAAATCCCTTGCGTATCTGAGAGACAACATTTTATCGACAATGCTTTGAAATAAACTAAATCAAGCGATCAAGCGAATCGCTCGCCGCTTGCTACTTGCCATTCATCACCGAAAGAATATGTGCCCTGCGCACGCAACTTATTGCTTGGCGCTTGGCATTAACGAGTACTTACAACATGCGACGGGTGAAAAACCGTATTTTTAAATACGAGTGATATTTCGCTCGAGCGATCACTCGGTTATTGCAATCGCTTGAAACTCGAGTACTCGATTATTGAAATTAATCGGTTTTTCCTATCACTACTTTTTACTAATTGTCATTGTCATTTGATTTAGAGTTATAATTTTATTGACGGATATCGATCAATGTCAAAATTTCCTTTTAGAAATTGTCATTGTCATTTTATTGTCACAGTTATAATTTTATTGACGGACATCGATTAATGTCAAAATTACTGATCTGAGACACACCCTAAAACTCATATTTGAGAAATAATGATGACGTAACGGTGAACGATGTCTGAACATTCTGTATTATCATTTTGTAAGAAAAAATGGTAATATTATTATAAAAATTATCTTCCCTTAAAATTGTTATATGATTTTAAGGGCTACTATGACAACGTTTTTTTTCGATCGTTTGTTATAAGTTATAAGTATGAAAAGTAAGAAATATTGCTAACGAACATTAGTGACTTCCTTAAAAATGTTTGCGCAAGACCGCATAAGTTAACGTATTTCCGGAAAATGCTATAAAATACGTGGAAAAAATCGCTTTGTCGTGGCTTATGAAAACGATTCCAGGAAGTGTTATACGGGCAGTTAAAAATTAAAATTAATTGCGCAAAGAACAATAAAACAATAAGTCGTATAACATTTGTTCTTATTTTTTATTGGTATTAATTCTGATGGCTGCGTACGCGACCAATCGTTTTGTTTTGAAATTGTAGAACCGTGGCAAATTGTAAAATGTAACGAAAATTTATTTAAAAATATTTAATTAAGTTGAAAAGAGAGCTGATATGTATTAATGAAAAATACTTCAAACTTCTACCTAGTTTATTTTTCAGACTGTTGATTTATTCGGTATAGGCATTCCGGAGACTGAGCTGTCATCAAATCTAACAAAGCAGGAATACTATTTCCAGCGAAATGCCGTTTAACCACCGTAACTTTTTCAGAAGTTGCAAAAATCTTAATTATTTTATACAAAATTACTCTGTTTGGTACCTTCAAATTTTTCTAAACAAAATGTGACATCGAATTTGACAATGAAACAATCACATTTTGGTGGTATTTTAATTGTTGGGCCGTATTATAAATTTTACTAATTTTAAGGTAGATTTTTGCAAATGACTATTCCAAATGAAACGAAATTTTAGACAAAAGTAAAACTTTAACGCTTCTTCAAAAAAAAGTCTAATACTTTTGCATAAAATTATCTGGGGATATAATATTTCACCTTTTCAAAATTTACATGGGATTTCCTATGTACTGTATTCCGATGCACCACACTGTAGATATTTTTCAATTAAAATTGTATCAAATGTTTTAGTGCATTTTCATTCATACTGTTTTTGTTTGTATCACATTTTTTTAACTTTTTTTTCTGAGAACAAACCTAATTTCGTCAAAAAGAAGCTATCATCAACCTCAAAACATTGAAAATCCAGTTATAAAGGCATGCTAAACCTTTTGTTGTGTTTAGCCAAAACGCACGTACCAAAATAATAACCTTTTATGCTGTTGCAAAAGCGCAAAGAAATTAAACAAAACAAAATATTAATTTTATTGCTTCACGGGCTATAAGTTTAAACAATTCTAGCGCATTCTCCATATTCTAAAAATATAACGTTTTTTAACGGGCATCGAAATAGCATTGAACAAAATAAAAGAAAAATACTTTCCTTTTGTTTGAGAAATATAAAAGGCAAAGATTTTCATGCTTTCTGCAGATATATGTTTATATGCAGAATACTATAAACTAGATTATATTTTGTTCCAGTCATGTTTGAGTTAGGAGAAAATCAGTTTTGTGTATTCTCTTTAGTAGTCACCTATTTAAATTCTACATACAAATTGACAAACACTATTTAATGATCCAGGAAACACTTTTATTTCTTAAAACCATCTATACTAATATATAAAATCCTTAAGTGACTGACTCACTGATTAATCACGATCCTGCTCAAACCACTCAACGTAAGAAGCTCAATTTTGGCATACAGGTTGATTCTAGGGTGTAGAGGTTCGATAAAAAGGGATTTTTCGAAATTCCAGTTCCAAGGGGGTAAAACCACCCCTCAAATATTACAATATTTTTTATTTAAAAAACGGTCAAGTTTCCGAAAAAATGCTTAAACACGTATATTTTATTTTGTTTTTTTACATATTTTAAGATTTTTTAAAAATGTATACACGGTATTTCGAAAAATCTGGTCATTGATTAATCACAATCCTTCTTAAAGCGTTTGACGTAAAAAGCTGATTTTTGGAAAACGGATTGACTTTAGGGTGTAGGTGTTCGATAAGAAGGAATTTTTCGAAACTCGAATTCAAAGGGGGTGAAACTACCACTCAAATATTAGAATATTTTTTATTTAAAAACCGGTGAGTTTCTCGGAAAAACTCTTAAACACGTATATTTTGTTTTTTTGTTTTACATATTTTAAGATTTTTTAAAAATTTATACAGGTTGTTTCATAAAATATGAGCATTGAGTAATCACGATTCTGCTTAAACTGCTTGACGTTTAAAGCTGATTTTTGGCAAATGGATTGACTGTGGGGTGTAGAGGTTCGATAAGGAGGGGTTTCTCGAATCTCAAATTCCAAGAGGGTGAAAACGCCCCTCAAATATTACAATATTTGTTATTTAAGAAACGGTTAGTCTTTCGGGAAAACGCTTGAACACGCATAATTTATTTTGTTTTTTATATATTTTGCAATTTTTTAAAAATCATACAGGGTGTTCCAAAAAGTTGGGTAATTGATTAACCACGATTCTGCTTAAACTGCTTGACGTAAAAAGCTTATTTTTTATAACGGATTTTTCGAAAGTCAAATTTCAGCGAGATGAAACTACCCCTCGAATATTAACAAGTTATATAATAATATCGCCATATTGTTTTTCCCATGCTTACATAAATGTGAGAAAATTTTATCCAGTTTGTATGTTAATGGAAATTCTTGCTTTGCTTTATCATCACCATTACAAATGATTAATTCGACGCGAACGAAGTCGCGGATTTTAATATAAAAGCATATTATTACTATTGCATATTACTGGTTATTTTAAAGCCTAAAAGTAATTTAAATTTAAAACTATAAATGTCCGTTTCACATCGTTCTAGACCTGATGAATGATTAATGTTTATTTCTTGATTTTGAAAGCAATTTGAATGTTAATAAGAATAGTGTTATTTCGCCACCACAAGTAATTTTAGTTTGTATTTAAAAAAAAAATACTATACAACAAGTAGTGTCATTAAAAGAGACACAGGGGCATAATGGCGAGCAGAAACTTACTATTCCCATAACAGAACATAACTCATTTCATAACTCATTATAGCTTGTTATAATATTTACTAGATACTGATATTTTCTAATATATTTTTAGAACTGTCTGTACATTTGGGTTCGTGACCATCGGCAGCATCACAAATACAGCGACACTGATGCCGATCCCCATAATGCCAACCGTGGTTTCTTCTTCTCGCACGTTGGTTGGCTGATGAGCAGGAAACACCCAGCTGTCATTTCCAAGGGCAAAACGATTGACATGAGCGACATGGAGGCTGATTGGCTGGTCATGTTCCAAAAAGAGTAAGTAATCACATTTGCTTAAGAGTCTATTACGCTGTACTTTCGGGTCCAGTGGCGGATACAGAGGGGGGCCCATGGGGCCCGGGCGCATATTCGGAATTCGCCGACACATTAGCCGCTCGGGATAGTTCGGGTGCTGCGTAAAGTACCGACGTATTAGACTAATACGTCGGCGATTTACGATGCGCTCAAAATATTGTTACTTTCTTCGCAAGTTTGTAAATCGGATTAATTTGATCTGCGTCAGTAATAGATATTCTTAATTATGATCAATCAGTAATCGTCTGTATTGGTTTTCATTGTTTTCCAGTGATTAGCACATTTAGAGCAGATTGCTAATTCAAAAACATGGATTTTAAGACATTAATTTTAGTTTATTTTTATTTTATTATAAAATGGAATAACTGTCTTGGTAAATGTTAGAAGAGAAATTTTATATAAATATATTTTAAGATTGGCTCTGAGACTACGTCTAATAAGCATTTAGGTGATTTCATCAACTGCCATTTTGATGGCAAACAAAAGAAAAATAGGGAAGCGAGCCGCAAAAGAACTTAGACTGAAATATAGAAGCGAAATATAGACTTTCTAGTAAAATTGTTAGATAGAACTTAACTAATTATTAGATTATAACTATCAAACAATTTCTTCCCGACACAAAATTTTAAAATAATGGAATGGAGGTAATAGATCCAAAAAATAAAAATATGTCTTAATTTTTTTCTATTCATATATTTTTTTGCTAATATGTTGTTCGTAGATTTAAGTTGTTCAGTAATTTCTATAAACAGAGTAATCCATCATCATTTCGCCATTAATATTTGTCTAACAAAAAGTATTTTTTTAAGTTTTTTAAATTCTAGTTAGAATTTTATACTAAAAATGACAAATTGAAAATTGCTTCATAAAATTTTTGAAAATCATATTGCATGGAATACACCGTAAAGTTTAATTTTAGTATTAATGATAATTTTTGTCCAAGTTTGTTTTGTATAATTTTTTAACAGTTCTCGATTTACCATAACCTATACTGTAATGCAATATGCAGACAACAGTATTTGGTTTTCGTAAATCACCGACGCATAAGGGTTGGGACTAGTCTAAACGTCGGTACTTTAGCAACCGTCCGTCGCTGTATCCTAAGGCTGTACCCGACCTAATCCGAGCGGCTAATGTGTCGGCGAATTACGAATATGCGGCCCGGGCTCCCCCTAAAATCTGTAAGTTGTATAAAATATTAGGCTTTTGGGATAAAAATGGCGCTCTAAAAAGCGTAATCTACATTGCTTTTTATTTTCGCCCCCCCCTAAAATAAATTTCTGTATCCGCCCCTGTTCGGGTCCAAACACACGTGCTTTAATTAAGGCTTGATTAAGGTTTGCAGAGCTTCAGCATTTGCCATAAAATAGCGAGCAACTTTTTAAAATAACATATAAATTATATATCACTGTAATCACAAAACTTCATTCTATTTCCGTATTGTAACGGAATTTTAAATTATGTTTTTATTTTCGAGAAAATTTAGTCCAAACATAAGGAATATTTTGTTGATGTTTGACCATCAAAATCTTAAAAATAAAGAAGTTGTCTAAAAATGTGCTACAATACGGATATAATATAATCCTTTATCTTTAATTTCCTTCTTCATTTGTGTAAAAATACCTAGCCAGTTTTACATAAAACGTTAAATGCCGAACGCTTCTTTTGCTACTTTTTCGGACTAGTAAAATGGATTTTTAAGACTATACTAATTATTTTGTTTCTAGGCATTACAAAGTATTGTACGCGCTCTTCGCCATTCTTTTGCCGTCCCTTGTTCCTGTCATTTTCTGGAAAGAAACATTCTTCAATGCCTTTTTCGCCGCCTACATGTTCAGAAGTGTTTTTGTCCTCAACATGACCTGGTTGGTAAACAGTGCAGCTCATTTATATGGAAACAAACCATTCGACAAGTAAGTTTTTTGTTTCTTTTTATTTCATATTTTTGTTAATGCGTTCCTTCTTTTTAATATACAGGGTGAGTCTTAAATAAGTGCAAATATTTTTTGAACCCCAGAACCACTATGAGCTTTTTCACATTTTTTTTTTTAAATTTTGAATTTATCGAAAAAAGTTTGGATTTGTTAAAAATTTTCAGTAAAAAGTAAAAAAAAACACAATCTTAATAAAATGGCAACACAGGTTGTAGGTTAAATCAAAGAATTTAGAAGAAAGAAAACACAGAAAAAATCAAGTGGTCCTCAAAATTTAAGCAAAAAATCATTTTTTTTTAATTTTCAAATTAAAATGACTTGATTATATTGGACTTATTTAAAAAAAAAGGAGACTATGCTTCTTTTATCGAGATTTACCAGCCCTGAAAATGTCAACATTCCATAGGTATAGTGATAAATGATGTCTAAATTATAAGAAAATGCATTTTCTACGAAAACTTGAATAAGAGTTCGGTAAAAAATGGTATAATACAATTTGATAGAAAATTAAATTGTGCATCTAATTCACGTAAAATATACAGGGTGTTCCATTTAAATTGAACAAGTTATTGCCGTTTAAAGCTAGTAATTATTTAATATAAATTTTTAGACATTTTGTATAAGGTAGTATTATTTTTATTATTGCACAAAATTTATTAAACAGAAAAACTTCGGTACAATATTTGGTTTTAAAACTTAAATACGCCTAGAGAAATAAAGCGTTATAATAATTATATTTGTATTGTAACTGTACTATTACTGTAATAGTACAATATTGTAATAGTATTGTAATAGTACAATGTATTGAGTAAATATTTCAAAAACGGTAAAATTGAAGTGCGGTAAACTTTAATTAAATTTACCTTTATTTTAATAGTAGGAACTAAAATTGTAATAATATACAGGGTGTTTATACCATTTAAAAAATACAATTATAACAATAGTAAATACAATACAAATACAATAATAAATAATATATATTATTATTATAAAAAATACAACTTTGATATTTTTTTCTTTATTTGTGACACTCTGTACCTTTTGAAAATAATTTTAAATTGTAGCTTTCGTAGTCTGACGATCCAATCACTCACAATTTCTAAAAATCCAATCATTTGGCTACAATACTACGTGGCCAATAAGTTTTTTTACATTTTCTAATAATATAATAATACTTTTTATTTCTTTTTAGATACATGAAACCTGTGGAGTCAAGTTTTGTAGCTTTTGTATCTGTCGGTGAAGGTTGGCACAACTACCACCACGCCTTCCCTTGGGACTACAGGGCAGCTGAATTTGGGGCCAAGTACAGTCTTACCACTATGTTTATTGACTTTTTGGCCTCTTGGGGATTGGCTTATGACCTCAGAACCACGCCTTATCATATGGTTCAAAAGTAAGTTTATTACCTTAGAAAAGTTATTAGAGTAGTTTGTTTTATTGTACAATACACCATACAATTACATATAAGAATACTTTTTATTTATTTATTTATTAAATTTGATTGTTGACAAAATGGTGAATCATAAATACCTAGTTATATTATTATTGACTAAATACGTACGGTAGCATTTTATTTTGCCCACCTTTAACAAACTACTTGTACATATTATCTTTTTTATTTTTGTTGAATAGAACATTTATTAAAAAAGTAATTCTGAGATTTTTAGTCAAGCGCGTGTTTGATATACAGTGTGTCGCAATATTCCGTGGACATAGAACTACTGCGTATTTTTGAAGTCAAAATAAGTTTAATGGACACAATTTACCTCTATACAAAAGTGCTTTGTATGTCCGCTAGAGGGCATCGATTTTAAAAAAGTAAAAAACATTTTTTCAGATATTTTAAGAACCGTTATTCCGATTTGAATGAGATTTTGTTGTTTATGTTTTGGTAAGTGTTTTAACATTTGACTTTCACAAAAATCAAGGAAAAGTACGGGAAGGGTGAAAATTACCCCTTCCTCTACATAAATTTTAGTATAAATATTTTTCAACTCAACCGACGACCGATTTTTTTTTCGTGAAATGGTTCTTCTAGTATTTACTATATTTTTTGTCTCTTGTAAAAAAAACTCCATCGCACATACTTTTTGAGGAAAAAAATATTTTTCGAAAGCTGACTTCCAAACAATGTTTTTTGTCACATCAAGCGCATATAAAATATCGCATTGTTTTTGAGAAAAAAAATTTTGGAGAATTTATTTTTTTAAAGCAGACCTACAAAATATACAGGGAGTTTCACTATTTCGTGGACATAGAACAACTTAATAACGTATTTTTAAAATAAGTTAATTACACATAAAAAGTGCTCTGTAAGCGGGAATCAGTCAAAAATAAACCCCAACTTTAATTAATTTAAAATTAATTAATTTTTTAAGCTTTTTATGAAGCTTATTTTCAAATATAATTTGTGATACTGACACAAAATTCCATATTTTCGCCAACTAGATTATTAGAGCACAATATTATTAATATTGATATTAATTTTTAAATATTGTGCTTAATAATAATACAGGGTTGTTCACCACATACGACACGGAGTATTGTAGCCAAACGATTAGATTTTTACAAATTGTAAGTTTTGAGTTCGTTGAAGGACTATTAGAGCTACAATTTAAAAATATTTTTGCAAGATACAGAGTGTCCCAAATAAATAAAAAATATCAAAGTTGTATTTTTTTAAATGAAACACCCTGTATATTATTGCATTTTTAGTTTCTACGATTAAAATAAAGGTAAATTTGATTAAGGTTTATTACACTTAAACCTTACCGTTTTTGAAATATTTTCAATTTTCTGAAATTGCAGTATAAATTTTAAGGCTTCATTTCCCCGAGGGTATCAAAGTTTTTAATACTAAATATTTACTGAAGTTTATTTATTGATCAGTTATTGTGTTGCATTAATAAAAATTATGCTACCTTATACAGAGTGTCTACAAATTTATTTTAAATAATTACTAGCTTTAAACGGCAATAACTTGTTTAATCTAAATGGAACACCCTATATATTTTATTAGAATCAGATGCACAATTTAATTGTCTATCAAATTGTATTATACCACTTTTTACCTATTCCTTCAAGTTTTCATAGAAAATGCATTTTCTTATAATTTAGACCTCATTTATCAATATACCCATGGAATATTGACATTTTAGATTGTTTTTAAAACAACAAATGTACAAAATGTACAGTCTAGTAATATTATCGTTTTTAGTAAAACGATAATATTACTAGCCCATTTGTATGCAAAAAGAAAACTATTTAAATCTTTATAAAAGAGTATAACTTTAATTAAATATACCACCAGTATTTCCGTCCAAATACTAATTAATTACATACTTAATTGTGTTCGTTAATAAATTATTCTAAATAAATGTGGATTTGAATCACAAATCAATATAATAATAAGTTATGAAAGTGAACGTCTCTGTTGTTATAAATAAGCATTTGTCAAAAAATGAAATAACATTTTTAAGGTGTTAGTTTTTTTACCACGCTGTCTAATACACATACATAATTCATTTTTTTAGTATTTGAAGCAATTATTATTAATCAACGCAAACAGTCAATTAATGTAGTTTGAATACTGGAATCATATTAATTGGTCCTCTTTAACAAATATTTAAACAGTTTTTTTTATTTTTTAAAGAAATAAACAAACTATATCGACAATATTAGTATCTGAACTCTTTAAAAATTTGGTACATCTTTAAAAATAATTTAAAATGTCAGTATTCCATGGGTATATTGATAAATGAGTTCTAAATTACAAGAAAATGCATTTTCTACGGAAACTTGAAGAGATAGGTAAAAAATGGTTAAATACAATTTGATAGTCAATTAAATTGTGCATCTGATTCTTATAAAATATACAGGGTGTTCCATTTAAATTAAACAAGTTATTGCCGTTTAAAGCTAATAATTATTTAAAATAAATATTTAGACACTCTGTATAAGGGAGTAAATTTTTTATTATTGCAACACAATAACTGATCAATAAATAAACTTCAGTAAATATTTAGTATTAAAAACTTTGATACCCTCGGAGAAATGAAGCCTTAAAATTTATACTGCAATTTCACAAAATTGAAATATTCGACTTTGATATTTTTTATTTATTTGGGACACTCTGTATCTTGCAAAAATATTTTTAAATTGTAGCTCTAATAGTCCTTCAACGAACCCAAACCTTACAATTTGCAAAAACCTAATCGTTTAGCTACAATATTCCGTGTCGTATGTGGTGAACAACCCTGTATATTAAGCACAATATTTAAAAAATTAACGATTACACTGACGTACCAAAATAATGCAAACTGATTATTTAAGTGTTTCTATAATTTTTTGTAGGAGGGTCCAGCGTACAGGAGATGGTTCTCATCCTATCTACTCAGAACAGGCCAAGAAGTTAGAAGAAACTGGCAAATTAGAAGACAGCGACATCGCAGAGATCTTAAAATCGAAAGAACATGGCATGAGAAGACTAGTTACAGCCCAAGGATAATCTATTTTTTCAGTATTTTTCGTGATAGATTCGTTTAGTTATAATTTACCTAACTCTAAACACTTTAATTTTTTTTGGTTAACTAGTTAATTACACAAAATACTTAATTAATTTATTCGGTTCATATTTAAGTGTTTAGCATTTAATATAAATCTTTATAAATTTATAATTCTTTGAAGTTAGTTTTTTTGTAAAAAATGCATACACATTTATATAAGCAGGGTACCTATATATTTTATCAAGTTTTTTATTATTTAAGTTAAAAAATAACCAAAAATATGGTACTATTTTTAATTGTTTTTAACTCAAAATGGTGTCACAGTGGCCTTTGAAATGAAAATAGCAAATAATCTCTGTCGGGTTTACCGCTATACAAATTGTCAAATATTTAATATTTTTGAAAATATATTTATACATAGAATAAGTCCTGACTTGTTTAAAATTAAACGTTAGTTTTTGATAAATCTTTATGTCAGTTTTTAATACAGACAGCTATATATGACATCAAAGGCTACTATGACACCACATTATTTCGATCACATGGTATAAATCTTATTATTTAAATTTATATACATTTAAAGATTGTATTTAACTTTCTTTTATTTATTAATTCTAGAAATAATAAAATAAGGTCAGTTCTCCTTTTATAAATTATAAAAATACTATTTATATATTTGTAAATTAAAAAAATTGTTTTAATTTTAGATGACTTTGTTGTGTGATTGTATATTTTATTAATTTTATTTGTTTTGCTTTGTTAATTTTATTTGAATATTTTACTATTCATAACACTAGTTTAATAAGGTTTATCTCCTATTGCAAAAATAACTAATCCAAATGGTTAACTGAGGAACACACAAAAAATACGATTGAAAAAAAAACGGTGTCAAATTATATGATGCATGTCATCAATCGTAATTTTCGAGCCAACTTGACGCCTTTTTTTTTTCGGGCATATAGTATATATTGGCTAAAAATTTCCAGTGCCATACCAAATCAAAAAGAAAATGTAATTTCTGTGTCCGGAGGTTAATCAATGTTTACTCTTAGTTACCAGAACGCAGGTTTTGATTTTTTAGCTTTATAATTATTTAAACTTTTTATGGTTTATTTTACCAAAACGTTAACGTTTGTCTAGCATTTAGTCAATTGTTAGGGATGGTTGTGATTATTTATAAATAGATTTTGACAATAAATAAAGTTTAAAAAATGCTATTTATCACTATTTCGAATTAATTTGTTTATCTAGTCATGAATTGTCAAGCAAGACATGAAAAACCTTACACAAATACGTTAATTAAATAATAAAAATTTTGGAAACAAATAAAAAATTTAGATATTTATTTAATACTCTGTATAGAACATATCAAAATAATGATTCCACCAAAAATGTGATTTGATAAAAATCATCCATACAACATACTTTTTTCAAATGTCACAAAAATATTATGACGTGATTGACAATATTAAAAGTAATTTTTTCTACAAACGTCAAAAAATGACACGGTTCGCGAATTGATAGCAATGTGCGAAGTGACCCTTTTTTTCATTTTCCTACGTAACCATTACACGTTGAGCGAAGTAATGCGCGAAATGCCTATTTCGCACACTGCATGTAAATTATATGGGATTTTGGAATTTTGATTTTTGGAAAATGAAGAACTAAATCATAAGTAATTATTTATTTCGAAATATTCAAGAATAAACAAATAACAAATATCAAACTTAACACTAATGCATATTCTAGTTATTATTTACAATATTAACATCAGAGAATAGGTACATTAAAGAAATGCTAACTTCATGTTAAAAAATGGAAACAGACGCCACCTGGTGTCGCCTGGCAGTACTAGCTAAATTGAGGGGAATTGGAGGGGCGGGGCTTAAAAGAGGGAAAACTTTTAAAAAAATATTTTTATAAGTATCACTGACTTACCGTTTAAAGTTAATAAACATATTTTTTATTACTTTAATATAATTTAATGTATTAAAAAATATGTCTATTAACTTTACACAGCAAATCAATGATATTATTAAAGACTTATTATTTTCAGAGAAAATTCATAGTAAATAAATTACACATTAGTAAACAATATCATTTATTTTTAGAGCCAAGGATTTATATTACAATATTGAAATATATATATTTTTAACAATGAAAGCATATTCCCAACCTAAAAGGAAAGATGATCAATTAATTGACTTAAATTAGTTCAAAATACATTTTGCAACAACTATGAATTGGAAAGTTTAGTAGTATGTTATCATCTATTACTGATAATACATTACATAAGTATATAAAAGGTAAATAACATGCATAAGGCACTATGATACAACTACCTGTATCATGATAACACACTAATATGACAAAAAAATATATATGCTAATTTAAATTCCTTTAATGATCTAACGAAACACTATCTAGCCTCAATGCATGCCATTCCAAAGGCAAAAAAAACTGTTAACCAAATAAATATAAGCTGAATAAAACATAAACCAAGCCAACGTGCATAAAAAACCAAAAAATGCATCAAAAAATACTTTTATCAGATCATACCCTTGGATATATTATGTATTTTATATATCGCACATCCCGTTCAAAAGTTTACTAACTCAAAATAGAGAATATAGAGAACATTGTCAAGAGAAGTAAAAGAAAATTTAAGTTAAGGCAATATGCTCCTTTTTGGATATTAATGGCCAAATAATATAATGTTGATTTAATAAAATTTTACTGGCATCCTTCTGAGGTATAAATCAGATTAAAAGGACATTGTTTTTGTAATAATTGTTTGTTTTGTAAACATTTTTTGAAGACAATACAGTTTTGAACGGGCTGTGCGATATAAACAAGGATCTTACTATTATTTGAGGTTAGAAAGTATTTAAATAACATAAAACATAATCAAAATCATTTGTCATCATAAATTATAGAGGTACTTACGTGTTTTGATATTATTATCAGGAAATAATACGTTTAGTTAAACAGGTACGCTGCCATGCAAGTTCTATCGGCGGGTCTTTGCAAAGGTTGAAATCTAAAAATACAAAACTACGTTTACATCTTAGTTGTATTTACGAATAAAGTATTTGTGTGTAATTTCTGACTTACCAGTTAACTGAATAATCGCATTAAATACATCCAAATGGTAATTTAATATTGTAAAAAAGCAAAATTGTTTTAAATCACTTGCCAGGACAGCCCGGCCAGCTTCTTTGTTGACAAAATGGCCGCGGTATCATGATTTAAGCAATGTGAGTGACAAAGAAAGCCAATGCCTGGCAGATGTTGGTTTCTTTGTCGTTGGTCCTGGCACGTTTAAATTTGACTGTTGCCTGTTTTCCCATAAAAGTGACACCCCCGTGATTAACATTAATAGTACAACCAGTACACGAACCAATATTTAATCCCAAACTAGACAGTTCTGATTTTGCTTGAGATACGGAGGTTTTGGGACTTGAGACACTATCCAATTTTGATGTAGTGGCACTTGATCCCGGTATTTGACGCTCTAAAATTTTATTGCTGATAGAATCCTCGACGTATCTTTCGGCCACTGTCGAAGATTTCCATCCTCCGTGGCGCTTCAAACTAAATATATCACCCCCTGCATTAGCAAGGAGTGTGGCTGAAGTTCTCCGGAAACAATGCCCAGTAATCATGCCAGGCCTCATAATCTGGCAGCTTCAAGTGTTTTGCTATCATGCTAGGCATCTTACCAATAGAATTTATGCCGACCACTTGGTTAACACATCTTTTATTTTGATATTTATAAACAATCTGCGACTGATAGCATTTCTTGGACGACTTGACACTGTAAAGACACTGTTTGTCTGTTTGTTGTTTTTTTTTGTTATTTAGGGATATCCCGATTTTAATGTTTGTAGAAAAAATGTTGTTTGCAACTCGTGCGCGAACTACTTTGGTGATCTCGACTAATTTTTCAAGTATCGATCACCAAAGTAGCACTTCGCGCACTAGATACAAAAATAACTATTAACGCCTAGGCATAAAAAAGGTAAAATCTATAAAAAAAAATAGTTTTTAAATAAAATAATATTAAGTAACCAGTCGTGAAAAAATTGAAAAAACATTAATACAAGCGAAGAAAAAAATATAGATATCTTTAAAGTCTAAACATAGATAACTTTAAAGTCACATTAAAAACATAAATCAACTTAACTAAATTTGAAAATAAAGCCTTTTATTTTTGAATTAAAAATACAAATATCTATAAAAACATAACATAAAATATTAACTAACTAATACATTGAACAACATTATACTAAATAAAAACATATTAAACTTCAATAATAATTGTTAATAAACATTATAGAAATTTCACTTACTTTTTACTTAATATAAAAATAAATTACAACTTTCCTAATGCCAACTGACAGTAAGCGCCATTAAAAAAAATTGGCGCCGGGAGGCACGTATAGCCGCCCATACTAAAATATGTTAATAATCAATTATCTCAAAAACTGCGACTTTGACTGATGTTTTGTTTGTTCCAAATATTATTCATAATCTTAAATTGAAAACCGCGTTTCGCTAGCTACTGTAATATTGGAGTTACGATTTTTTTAAATTTTTAACCCCCACCCATATCCCCTTTCCAACCCCCCACCCCCACCAAAAACTAATGGCCAGATTCTCGGATGCCACAGTATTTTTGTGCCAAATTTAGTTAAAATCGGTTTAGCGGTTTTTGAGTTATCGTGTTACAGACGGACAGACGAACAGACGAACAGACGGACAGACGGACAGACACTCACCATGAAAATCTTTTATATTTTGGTCATTTATGACCCAAATAACTCATTTTGAGTGAAATTAAAAAAACTGAGTACTGGCCAAGTAAATAACGTTTAGGGCTTGACCTCGCCAAAATTATCAACGATAGCAATTCCACAGCCGCCTTTGACGCCGTTTTTTTTCAATCGTATGGTATAATCAAAAAGTGTATAAGGATGTATATATATATTATAAATAATTTATCATAATTACACAGAAACATATTCTTACAGTAAAAAAAATATATATGTTCACCCTTCGTTAAAGAACTAATTATAATTAATGTAGACACCATTA